AGGTGTTGCCGCAGTGTGCGTAGATGCCAGCCAGCGCCACCTCCTCTGGGGCTTCCTGCGCAATCGCCCGGGCCAGCTCCAGGGCGCTGGGGTCCGTGTGCCGCAGGCCGGCTGCAAGGGACAGAGAGGGGCATCAGGGCAGAGGGCACCCTTTCCTGGGGGGGCCGGCAAGCAGGATGGCTGGAAACCCTGGGGCTGCTGCCTGGAGGGTCTTGCCTCTCCCATCACCGCCAGCCCTTTTGGGATCAGGAGGGGATTTTGCTCCCGCACCAGACTGGGGTCGGGGGGTGAGGCACGGGCAAATCCCCCTTGCCCAACCCGTGCCTGCTCCTAGCCATAGTGGGCAATGCAGAGGTTCGGACCTGGTGCATGCCGGTCCCCGCCAAGGGCTCGTACCTCGGCCGTTCCCGCAGTCCAGCTTCATCCACACCAGCCAGCGCACGCCGTGAGCCAGCCGCCTCCGCCTCAGCTGTGCCAGGGCGTCCCGGCTGTCTACCAGGACCTGGAAGGCCTCCAGGCGCTGGGCCAGCACCGCGCACTCCTCCAGCTTGTCGAAGGGCAGCGGGTAGGCGTAGAGGATGTCGTCGAAGCCGCCCGCGGCAAAGAACCGGGCTTCGGCCAGCGTGGACACCACGATGCCCCGGCGCGTGCCGCCCGTCATCAGCTCCCCGCCCTCCCTGCAAGGGGCACGGGCGGCACGGTGTGAGGGCGCGGGGAGCAGACGTGGACCCTGGAGCAGGGGCGGGGGTGCTTGGGGCACTCACAGCGTCTTGTGGGTCTTCATGTGAGGCCGGAGGCGCAAGCCCAGCGCCCCGCAGCGCTGCAGCATCCGCTCCGCGTTCCTCCTCGCCACCGCCTCGTCCACCACGAAGGCTGGGGTCGGCAGCTCCGCCACGCGCCGGCCCACCCACATGGCACTGCCGCGGCTGCGGGGGGGACACAGGGTGCCGGGCAAGGGGTGAGGAAAGGGGGATCACCCGCACCCCCACAGCTCCTGGGAAGCTGCCCACAGACCCATTACTCCCACCCGCTGGGTCATTCGGCCCGCAGAGACCCCATTATTCCTGCACCGGGCCGTGTCATGTAGGAAGGGCCAGGCTGGATGTGCCCATGAGGGCTCAGCCCCTGCCTCAGTTTCCCTATTTCCTGGGGCAGGTAAGGGCCAGCTGGCCCAGGGCAGGAGCTCCCAGACCTGCGGCGGGATCCTGGGGTGGCTCCGTACGCAGCTTGGACAGGTCGTGTGGTCTGGACTCCGGCCCGCGAATGCACCAGGTCCCCCCGGAAACAGTCGGTAAAACAGGTGGCTTTGCTGAAGGGAAGGCCAAGGCAGCCCCGAAAGCAGCAGGGCTCCCCCGCCGCCTGCCTAGCCCAGAGCCCCCACGCAGTACCTCCTCCGGCACGGCCGGCTCAGCCCTCCTGGCAGGGAAAAGCCGGGGCTGGAGCCGTCCCTGGTGCTGCCATTGGTGCATGTGATTGGGACGGGCACGCAGCAGCTGGGCCAGCCAAGGACAAGGGTCAGAGCTGAGGCCGTGCAAGGGGAGACGCTGGTGAACGCCTGGCTTCGTTAGCGAGCTCCGTGCTGGGAGCCGTGCCAGGCCTGGAGGTGTGCCCGCAAATGGCCAGTTGCCCCAATGAGGCCTGATCCAGCCTGCAAGCACAAGCATAGCCTGTGCAGGCACAGAGGAGGAAGAAAGGCAGGAAGGAACGGAGACGGGGGGAGCTCTCTGGTCCCCGAGGTTTGCTAGAAGGTGAAATTTAGCTTGCACAGATGGGTGAGAGCCAGGTGCCTCTGCACTTAATCAGGGGCTCACGCAGTGGCAGCGCTGCGAGCTGCTTCCCTTGCACCTGAAAAACCAATCCCTGCCCCTGGTGGCACCACTTGTAGGACCCGAACTCACAACTTTTCAGATCTAAAAGTCGGAGACTGTCTTAACCCTTTAGGTAAGAGGCCAGCTCCCGCCACCGTGGTGTACACTTGACGCAGCGGAGAAGTGCAAGCAGATGGCAGAGCAGGTGGCACCTCAGAGACAAACCGGCTGAGAGAGGTGCAAGCTTTTGCAGGCAACGACCTGCTTCGGTAGGTGCAAGGCATGGGCAGGCCTTTCAAATGAGGAAACGTAGCAGCTTTGCATTCAATTTTCCCTCTGGGAGGTGTAAACTCAACGTGCTTCTAGGTTTCCAAAAGTGCTCCTGGCCTTCCAGCTCTCAGCCCACGTGCTGAATCCGGCACTCGGGACAGAATAACTGCATGCACAAATACAGCCTGGGAAGGATCTGACTTTGGACCCTAAGCTGAACATGAGCCAACAGTGCTCCTGCTGCAAAAAAAAGCCTGGGCTGGATCAACAGCAGTGTCATTTGAAGTCGAGGGATGTGATTCTTCCCCTCTATTCAGCACCGGGGAGTCCGGTGTTGTTTGGGGCCCTGCCCTTCAAGGGGGATGTGAACAGTTTGGAAAGAGTCCAGCGCAGAGCAACAAGAATGATCCGGGGCCCAGGAGACAGGACCTTTGAGGACAGGGTGAAAGAGCTCGGGATATTTAGTTTGGAGGAGAGAAGACTGAAGGGAGACAAATTTTCTAGCCTCCCGTGTCGAACCTAAGTGCCATCTAATGTGCTGTGCGGACCAGGCTAGACTGTGCACAAACCTTCGAGTTACCTGTCACCTCTCTGGGGCAGGAATTGTCTCGTTGCTGCATCCGTGCAACCCCTAGCACCATGGGAACTCAGTCCCGGAGTGGGGACACGTAATAAAACAAAGGGCGATTCACGGAGAGGCATTTATTCCTTCACAAAGTTTATTGGAGATCACAGGGGCTGTACATCGCTTGCAAACCAGGCGACTGAGCCCAACAGAGAATAAGGCCAACCTGTTTAAGGCATATAAGTGTGGACTGGATTGTGCTTAACTTTATTTTTTTCTTCTGGAAAACCAAACCAAACAAAACCTGTAGAGAAAGCTGTGCCAGAAATGCGCTTAACGTCACCTCCCGGGGACCTGTCTCTCACTCCCATCTCCCTCTCCGGTGAATCAGCGGGCGAGTGCAAACCCAGCCCATCGCCATCTCCTCGAGGCAAATGCACCAGCCGCCCAACCCTGCGAGCTACTTCTCCCTTGGCGGGAAGCAGGACGTCCTGGCTTTCAACCTCTTCCTTCAAGGCTTTGCCGGTGTCCTCATGGGAACAATGTCCTGCTTATATGTAGGAAGGACCAGCACCGGGGTCCACCTGGGTCACAGTTTGACATGAGCTTGTTAATGCCCAAAGCAAAGCCATCCTCCTCCCCGGTTGGTTGAGAAGGGCTGGAGATCAGCGGTACAGCGGACGCGCAGAAGAGCTATGATCAAAGCAGCTGCAGCCGGGACAGCTCGCCCACCCAGGACTGCTCTGTTTGACCCACTCGGTTGGCCCTGCTTCCCAAAGGAAGTGGGTCCGTTTGGTCCCCATGAGGTAGAAAAGTGGGGGAAGGCCATGGCCACTGCCTGCCCCCGCAGTTACAGCCAGGAATCAAGCACAGTCCCTGCTTCTGCTCAGCTTGGGTGCCCAAGGGAGGTTGCCCCAATGCCAGGCTGGATGCCAAAGCGGGCACCCATGGCCGAAATGAAGTCTGTATCTCCACCCCCCACACTAAGGCATTTCACAGCTACGGCCCAATCACTCCTGCTAGCAAAGGACAGGAGAAATGAGAAGGAGATATAAACTCAGGAAACTGCATCTTGACTCTGTACAACCAGAGGAGGTAAAAGCAAAATGAAAAGAGGGCAAAGGGAAAAGAAACCCAATGACTTCAGGTAGGAGGACACAGCAGGTACCCAGTGAATTCAAGTATCTTCAGAAGTCAAGTCAGGGAAGCCCAGCTGAGCTTCCCTTGACCCACGCCGATCTCAGAAGGATGAAGGACAAATCCACGCTGAGGCTGACCTCTTACTCCCTACTCTATAAAAGTCAGCAGTGTTTAGGGAAGCTCCTATCACTTAAAATCCCTTTTTTTTCTTTTTTTAAGAAGGAAAAAAGAAGGTAGAAATCTTTACATGTACATCATCATTCAAAAAAGTTACAAAAAACTATATATATATATGAGATATATATATATATATATTACATACATACAAATCGCGATACAGAACACGCACTTAACAAAAAACATTCTTCTCAACGAGATGCAAATATTGCACTTGGTGTGGTTCCAGCTGTTCTCTCTGCCCCGGGAGGGATGCTGGGGACACTGTTTCAGCTTCCTGCCCGACCCTGTTTCTCCTCTTAAAATGGTAAAAATAAAAGACAAGAAGCGAGGCACGGTCCACTGCCAGCAGCTGATCTCGCCAGCCACCCGTGGGGATCGCCTCGTCCACGTGGAACCAGCTTTGGTGGGTGACCAGCCAAACGTTCCCTTTTTAAAGGGGCCTCTGCTCTTCGGCTTTGCAAGTTAGCTTTTGCAGGCTGTCCCGGGCTGGCAGCAGATGTACCCTCCAGTGTGAGCTGCGCTGTGCCCGGTGCCTTTCCCCTCAGCCCCCTGGAAGACTGCTGCGGGAATCCAAGGCAGTTGACGCCCCGCTTGTAGTCAGGAGGTGTCATGAGGAAGGAAAGAGAAAGACCAAATCATTCAGGACGGACAACGGCTACAGTTCAACACAGCCTGTGGAGGAAGGATGCAGGCCGAGATCCAACAAAGGGCTATGGTTTTTAATTAACCCAATGTTGCAACTAATAAAAGCCAAGTGCACGGCCAGTGGGATGGAGGGCCGTGGCTTGCGAGCTCATCAGAGTTGCACTGAAGACTCGACGCTCCTTTCCAACGTGCTGCTCTTTGCACCCCCAGCCTGACTCCCTTTTCCAAGGACCTTTGCTGTGTCCCGGTGACGTCTAGGAGGCACGTGCACGCATGGGGAGACAGCACTCCCGCCTCCAGGCCGTGGTCTTGATGCTATGTCACTGAACGTGGGAGGATGCTGGGTAAGGAGACCTGCATCTCTTCCTGGCTCGGTTACTGGGATGGCACCTACAAGGCCTGATCCATTCCCTTCCTTTCTGAGCCACCTGTAGCCTCATGCTCCAGGAAGGGGGTGACACATCAGGTATGGAGATCACGGAGCTCCCCATAGTTGCCACGTGTCTCTGGAGGGGGATGAGGGTGTTACTTCCAGAAGGCTCCCTTGGCACAGATGCTCCATAGCCTCCAACCGGTGCTTCCAAACGAGTCCAAATATCCATCTCACTCACCGCCTTGCCCTTAATCCTCCGGTGCAGCAAGGTGATCAGGCAGAGAATGGGACCTGTTCCCAAACCTTGTGATAATCAGGGGATATGGGATTTGGATGGGTTGGGTAAGAGCAGGCAAGTGTTGACAATTGGCTGCAAAAACCAAACCTCTTCCTGGGTTAAATCACCTGGTGCATGAGCAAAATGATGGATGGAGAGATGGCTGATAGACAGACAGACAGGGGGAGCTTTTGGACGAGGTCAATATTGAGACAAGAGCGAGAAACGCAAAGGAAAAACTCAGCGTCACAACTTTCTGCTACCTGACATCTTCACTGCTAACGTTCACTGCCATTGGCTTCAGCCAAGCCCTTTTAAAGCTAGAAAAGACCCTGCCTTGGCTCCAGGGTACCCTGTGGAAACACCCTGCTCCATTCTCCCTGGAGAAGCAGGCGGGACGTGCCCGTTCCCACTGACAGCTGATCTTGCTGGAAGAGGCAAACCCACAAGTCCCCATGCCCATGCCACCCTTTGTCGCACAGCGCCGGCCCCTCTCAGCTGTCCAAAAACAATCCTCTTCCACCTGCCCTGACAAGCAGAGGTATCCAAAGTGCAACCAAGAGACAAACGCAGCCAGCTCGCCCGGAGCCCGCGCAGCAATGGACCCGCAGGGTGAAGGCAAAGCTTACGAAAGGCAGGGTTTTATTGCTGATGAAGTCATCCAACGAGCCTCTCCCGCTCGCGGGCTGTGGAAGATACGAGAGTCTCGGGAGACGATGCGATTGTACCCGTTTATTTGCTTTTTTAAAAAAAGATAAAAATCTATAGAAAAAGTTGGCTGGGGCCCTCATGCCGTGAGCCCACTGTCAGCAGAGCCCCCGGGTGTTGTTGCCTTGGTCCCCAGAGAGCTCACAAGCCATCTTCTGAAAGACCCCAATGGATGGGGGGCACTCTTCTTCCCCAGCAAAGGGAGTTTTATGTACATCTGGGATGCTGGGGTGAGTTCAAGAGAAGCAGGAATTTCCCTGTTACCTATCAAACGCTGCCCTCCCCACAACATATGCTCCCTCTGGGGGGAAAGGAAACAGGCTCTCAGCAGTATCTCGAGACATTAAAGCTTTTCTGAAGCA